ACAAAAATAATAATAATAATCATAATCATGATAATAATAGCATTTAATAATAGCATTTAATAATAATAATAATAATAATAATAATAATAATAATAATAATAACTACAACAACAACAATTATTATTATTAATAGTTGCAGAGGCAGAGGTGAGGGTTCTGCCACAGCTTCTCTTTAATTGGCTGTGGAAGAACTTCAATACAAATGCTAGTAATACGAGCAAAAGCTGCAATTACAATGTACTGTATGCTGCTGGAAATAAGCAGCTAATTAAATGACAAAAGATCACTTTCCTATGTTTTCAAGTGAGGGGATGTAGTTGCCAGGCAGGTTTTCTGGTTCTGATCAATAAATGTGGGTTCAGTTAAATCGCAACTCTCATGCTGTTTCTTTCCAAACCAAACCCGGTGCTCTTGAGGGCTGTGAGTTCTCCTGAGCCACCCCTCTTTTTTCTTCTGTTGGTCTAATGGTACGCATTTCAGTAACGCTCTTTTCTCCCCTTTGAAAAGGGATATTTCTGTTTTGTTTTTAACATGGCTTTTATTCTGTCAAGGGTATGGGGCTTATATGTTTTAAGTTACAGAGGTGGCTAGAGAAGGCTTGCCATTTTATCCAAATTAAAATACAGCGCAGCCATAAATAATACATTGCTTTATAAAAATAAAACAGGCTCATCATAAGAAAACAATCAGGCCAGTCCCAGTTGTCTTAGGTTGCTTTTGATATGTGACCTATATATTATTTACAATGTAATTAATATCTTGGGAATTATTGCTGTTAACAACTTACAATATATATGAAGAGCCAAGTTATTTATTGCCTTATCTTCGATTTTTTTTTTTTGAGAGGCAAGAGGACGTGAAACCAGATTTGAGAGAACAAACGATCTTGTAGTGTTCTTACATCCCGGTCATTGATACCACGTTCAGGTAATGGGAGAGGTTGCTTTGACACGGCAGCTGAAGAAAAAAAATTATAATTTTTACTCTTTTTACTGGGGGTTTTGTTTCCATGTTGTTATTCAGCGCTGTGTCTCATGATGTCTTTTTTCTGCTTAATGTCCTGAATGTGTACTACTGACAAAGTCTGATCACGCTGTTGTTCTTAATCAGGCGTCCAGGCAACGGTGAGATAGAACAACGCAAGAAAGCCGAATAATGGTCACCTTTTCTTAACAGACTGCTTCTGCAACACATTTATATTTTCACATTTGGAGTTATAAAACATTTAAAGCTTTTTTCCCCATTCATTCTTTCTTTCATAGCAAGCTGTAACACAACACCGTCGACCGTCGCCGACTCGGGTGAATCCATATCGCCCTCTTGTGGCGCTGAATCGGATAAATACACGCTTTTTTCAGTTAAACTGGGGGAGATCCCAGTAATGAATGTTCATAAATTAATTGTAAAAACAGATGAATACATTACATTGCTACGATTGGTGGGAAAAGTTGCAATGCTGTTTGCTGTGTTATAACGTAGCGCCCTTAACAACGTTAAGCGTTGTAACAACGCCTTAGCGTTGCAAGGAGAAACTTTAACGTATAATCTTGTTAAGGCCAGGTTTAGATAATAAACTGACATTTGTACATTTAATAGTTTTAGAAACCTGTGCAGAGCCGTGGACACTCTTCTCATTAAATATTACAAAGCAGATTTCTGAGCCTTATTGTAGTGGTATTCATGACTGAAATTACTGTCGTTATTCTTAAATATTCTTATGTACCGACGTATCTTTAAATTTTAATTGGTCCTGCATTTAATCTCTCGGTAATACAGGACTATAACATTCCTGTTTCTACTTATTATGAAGGGTAAAAACAACAAAACCAGCAGTGCTCTCTGATTCGAGATCAGTCAGAGTGTGGGCTGGGCGGCACTGCAGACCTGACAATCTGCAACGGATGACTAGCAATATTGCTGAGGACATTTAGCACGACGCTCACAAAGGTTGATAACAGCAGGTGGCGCTGATCTTCAGAAATATACCTATGAAGGAAAAAAGGCAAAGAGATCAGAAAAAAATATTAAATGGAAGTTAGAATTGCACAACGGCTATTTTTTATGTGCACAAAGCCTAAGAAAAATCTGAAATAAACTGCAAGCAGCCCTTAATCTGTGATGGAAGTCCTCAGTCCTCCTGAAAGCGCCCAAAAGGTTTCTTTATAGAACATTTCTATAGAAACATATACTTTGTCTACCTACAAGTTATTTTGTAAGTGTGAAGGAATAATAATAATCCTAAATATAATTCATATTCCCTTCTTTTTTACTAGAGTTTTTCCGAGCTTTGTAGTGTGTCACTGCTTTTATCGAATTCCAAATCAGCACATCATAGTACACAAAAAGAGCTCACCAATGCTGTTAATAAATCATCCCTCAAAGTTTCCTCATTGTTTTTTTTTATTTTGATGTAAAAATACCTAAAAAAAACAACCGCTGTTTTTCATCTGTGAAATTACGACACTTCTTGTTTACAGTGCAATTCTTTAACGCAGGTTCATTAAGAATTTGCCTGCTGATTTGTACATTTGTGAGCTATTAATGTTTAATGAATGCAGCTCGTTGTTTTATTTGATTTAGAGGTTTTGTTGTTATCTCGGGTGATCTATATTAATTATTAATGAATATATTATTAGAATTCCTGAGAATATACTGAAAAAAATAAACAATGTTTTTATTTAAAAAATAGCAATGCAATCTTTTAGAGCACGTGTTCCTAAACCGTGGAACAGGGCACCAAGTGTTATAAGCAGCCATATCACTCTGCAATTCACAACAAGCAACCCACTGAAACGCAGCAGGTGTGAGCCTGGTCAGTACCTGGATGGGAGACCTCCTGGGAAAGCTGAGGTTGCTGCTGGGAGAGGTATTAGTGGGGCCAACAGGAGGCGCTCAACCTGTGGTCCATGTGGGTCCTAATACTCCACTATGGTGTCGGGGACACTATACTGTAAACAGGTGCTTTCCTTCAGCTGAGGTGTAAAACCGAGGTCCTGACTCTCTGTGGTCATTAAAAATCCCAGGGTGTTCCTCGAAAAGAGTAGGGGTGTAACCCTGGTGTCCTGGCCAAATTTCCCATTGGCCTTTACCAATCATGGCCTCTTTATAATCCCCATCTATGAATTGGCTTCATTACTCTGCTCTCCTCTCCACTAATAGCTCATTAGTGAGCATTCTGGCGCACTATGGCTGCTGTTGCATCATCCAGGAGGGGCTGCACATTGGTGGTGGTGGAGGGGATCCCCATTACCTGTAAAGCGCTTTGAGTAGAGTGTCCAGAAAAGTGCTATATAAGTGAAAGCAATTATTATTATAAGATGGATTTTCCTTATCTTTTCAGTGCTGTGGAATATGCACTGTGTGGGCCTAAAGATCACAGAAGATTCAGTCAACATGAATTGAATGGCATTGTATGACCAAGGCCGGTGGAGCCCAGACCTCTCGCAGATCAAAGTCTAAGGCAGGTCGGTAGAGTCGCCTGTGGTCGCGTGTCCTTCTTTTTTCTTCCTCTGACGGCTGATCTAATCTCCGAAAAACATTGATAACAGACAATGACTTTCTTGCACCTCTTCTGCTTCCAGACATCCTCTGCTCACTTGAAGGAGGGAACAAAAGGCGACACACACCAGATAATTCCAAACGAACACCTTCAGTCACCCGGCCAGCGTCAATCAATGCGCCGTTTCTGCCAGAAAAGCCTATACAGAGACACTTGACCTCTTACTACTTCTTAAGGCAATTAAAACCAGGTGGGGCTGCACATTGGTGGTGGTGGAGGGGAGTCCCCATTACCTGTAAAGCGCTTTGAGTGGAGTGTCCAGAAAAGCGCTATATAAGTGTAAGCAATTATTATTATTAAAATTACTAAAGGCGTATTTTAAGTTCTTTTATGCATATGCGCTTGTCCATAATTCCATAATCTACCCCTACCCCTGGCTCACACTCATGTTTTTTTTTTAATTGCATGTTATTTAACTTCTTGTTACTGCTGCTGTTCTTTGTTCATGTTTTGTGTGTGTGTGGGCGGGGGGGGGGTGTTTCCTTAAGGTCTTTGTATTGGAGCGTACATGCAAATAAGCATTTCATTGCGCTTGTGCAAATGACAATAAACTGAACTGAACCGAAATCACGAGGACTTGCGTCGGACGAGTACATTTGGGACATGTCAGCAGCACCACTAGTGGTGCCAAATAAATCGATATGAGAACAGCTTTGTGGAATCCGGAGAGCAAACGCCGGGGAGGAAAAAATGATGTCATCTGAGAGGGAAGTCACATCCACACTTCGACCGCGCAACGCCCGATAAATAACCCATTAGGCCTTGTGTGGTCCCAGGTTCGCTCATTCAGTCGCTTAATCAGCGTAATTCAATCGGCTGGCCAGTGGAGTTACACCGTGCCAGCCTGTGTCGGGCGGTGCTGCCGCTCAAACCGCCCCACGTCCCCTCTTGCTTCCACAGAGGCCGGCCGTGCTGCGCTACTGGGCCATAGGCTATGATGCTATTGCTTTGCCAATGGGCAGAAGGACGTGGGATTAACGTCACTGGCAATCACACAAGAGTCTGTACCCCGTTGGGCAACAGTTTGTGCCCAGATTCCAACACCTCCGGGTGGAATTTTAGCACAGCCCCAGCACATTTATATAACGCTGTAACAAGACGCTCTTCTCCTTGGAAGCTGTGTTGCAAGGCGGTACGGCACCAGCTGTGCACCGGTCAACAACGTCGACATCCCGGTGAAAACACAAATCTTGAATTAAGAGGCACTCCTCCTGTTTTCAGGACTAGAGTCCTGTCACGCATGCGGGAGTTAATTCCTCTATGTCAAGGGCCCGCAAGGCATGTCTTTTAGCATTAAACTCGTTTTAAAACACGCCTCACACAGCTGGTCTTGACGGGATTTAACGAGCGGGGCAAAGCTTTGGTAACTGCCGCATAACTAAAACACTTCTTGTTAAAACTTGAGTGGCGCATAAGTCATTCAAACGGAGTTCACAGACTCCTCCTCTTCTTCCTTATAGCTAAGAGGCATTAAAACAAAAAGGAAACAAGTACAGTGTGGGTTTGACTCCCGCCAGTCGGATTGGAGTGATTACAAAGTTATCGGCTATGCTTGGAAGACGTTAGTTCTAACACGCTTTTTTTTTTTGTCGAGAGACTCGCCCAAAAAACGTCGCGCAATCCGGTATTTGTGATCGCCAACAATGTCAAGTATGAAAAGACAAAGTTCTTGGCAGGAAGACATCGCTAAAAACTTTTCGAGGCTTTTTTCGAGAAGCAAGTCACAGGAACAAGGAAAGACAGGGACCGAGTCTGCGGAAAGCCTTCACAGGTACGCCGATTTGATCCTGTTACTACACTTGCGGGACTCGTTTGCATGCGGTCTTCCTTTTATCCTTCGGTTAAAAAAAAAAAAGTTTTAAAAAAGGGAGTTGCCTATCACTTGTTCTGGCAGCAATTTGAAGCAGCTGTGTTTATGCAAATCTAGCGTGGATTTAAGCAGCAACGCAATGTTTTCTGTGCTGTAACGAGCGTTTTTAAAGTCTAAACTCTATTTGGTAGTGAGTAATTACTACAGACTTGCAGTTATTATTGCTGACACCAAGTGATAATTTCCTTAGTGGTCCTGTTACGCTTTGGTCTCGGGAGAAAGAAAGTCGCTTTTATTTACTTGGGTGTTTTTTTTTTCCTAAATAAAACGTGAATCAGTAGGGAGGGCGACATAAACGTAAGAGCGTCTAGCTGTCAGATAACTCTTTCGCGGTGATCTTGGAAGTTTTGCACAGCGCCTAGAAGCAAGCGGAGCCCCAGGCGAGACAGCTGAGACCATCTGCTGGCGTCTAACGCCGTCCGAGGGGGCGGCGGTGCTCTGGTTGGAGCAGGCTAGCCAGGATAACTGCCCCCGTGTGCATTCCTGCTACAGAAACGACATGAGCCTGCTGGAGCTGATGTCAGTCGGCATTTTAATCTGAGAACATTTCAACTGTGAGGGGGAAGTGATGTATAATACAATATCGTGCGCTGCAAAAAAAAAGGGAAACATTGCACACAGGAAGACGTGTCATGCAGTGACATTTTACATGGTCGTTATAGTTCTTCTGATAGAATTCAACGCTTGTGGTCAAGCATTGTCAGTATTAATCTATATTAAAAGAGCAGGTTTCCAGTGATTTTTTTGTGTGGAAATATACAAGATTTCCAAGTGTAGACAAGCAGCTGATCTGTTGGGTAGAGTTAGTGCCTGGTTTCCTGCACTCCTGAGCCTCCTGAGTCCTTTTCTGCAGCTGTTTGGAATCAGCTGCCCTAAACAGCCATGCGTTACTGGACGTATTCCAGGGAAGGGTCATGGTAACTCAGAGCCCATCTGAAGAATAGTGTGCCTGGCAGGACTGCACCCAGCACAGGAAGCCAGTCCACCACAGGGCATGCACCGTTGGACAGTTTAAATACAGTGCTTAACCAAGGCAGTCTTTGAAAGGAAACTGGAGCACTCGGAGAAAACACAGGTTGATAGAGAGAGAGAACGTGCAAACTGTTGTTGCTTCTATCCTTCTACTGTATGTTTAAATTTTCTGATTGGTTTGCCCAGAATCCTGCCAGGTCTGTCAGAGATGCTTGTGCACTAGCTTCCTTGTTGGCTGTCGTCTATGACTGATGATCTGAAAATGTCCCACATCATGAATGCGTGTGCCTTCGTTATTAGCTCATTTTACTTGCTGATCATACAGCTTAGACATGCCACTTTGATTGACCAGCTCCTCCTGTTTAGAGAGGAAAGCCATTCATTTGTCATATTTTTAGTTGAAAGAGGGATGCATATTCTTTATTGTTTAAATAGCAATACTGTACTTCGTTTTGAACAAATTCTTCATTCTTTGTTTTACTGAAAACACACTATAGTGGTCGATGTATATCACGGAGAGCAAATTGGGGTATGCGAAAAGATAAATTCCTAATGCAAGAAATTGTATATGGCTAATAAAGTAATCTTATCTTATATTCCCCACCTATTCATATGGTGTCTGTACAGTACAATATACTTCTTCAGAGTAGCACTGCCTAGGACTTCATAATAAGTGTTCTGGTGGTGATGAAGATTTTCATCCTCTTCAATACATTATGAATATTAACTTGATATGCTTTGTAAGGACATATTCAAAGTCCTTTTCTGCTCAGCCTAATAACTTCCTACTGAATGTCCTGATCTGAGCTTTGCATGCCTGTTCATTTGCTTATTTAATTTCCAGTTCAGATGATAAAGAAAATGAGATCAACAGTCCAAACAGTGGGACCAAAGGAGAAGTGGCCTCCAAGAGTCTGTTCCTTGATTTTTCAAAGGTATGTTCTTTGAATTTGAACTTCTGACGTTTTAAGCACAAAAGCATAAAATAACAAGAAATGCCGCGTGTAAGTTAAGGCCTCCTGAGTAGGGTGTTGGATTAGAAAGGACAATGACATAGGTGGTAGACTGGCATAGGGGATGGCACTGCTGTCTCACAACCGCAGAGCCCTGGGTTTGAGTCCAACAGGAGTGCCTGTGTGGAGTTTGCATGTTCTACCTGTTTTCACATGGGCTTCGCCTGGTGCTCTGGTGTTCTCGAACAGACGTGCAGGTGCCTCTCTGCTCTGATTTGATCATTTCTGAAGGGATTTCACGGTTGGTGGGTTTGTATTCACTTGGACCACTGCTCACTGTGAGACTGTAAAGAAATGAAATGAGCAGGTCGGGCCTAAAGTGTGCATTTAAATTTGATGTCTGGTGCAAGATTGGTTGCAAAGGTATTACATTAGTTTGTTTTAATACTTTACTCGGTAGTGTGAATTTGACAAAGGAAAACAGTAATCAGTCCACCGATGAATCAAATCAGTTCTGCTAATGCAGATATTTTCTTCTTTTTTCAAATACATGTAACCTCAGAAAAATGCCATAATATTGGGCATCACAAGTGTTTCAGATCCCACATATTTCAGATCCTTTCAGTAAGACTGCTCTGCTGAAATCAGCGAATAATTGAAGTGATTTGTAATTTGTTGTGGCATCTGTTCGTTTTTCATAGTAGTGTGCATTATAAAATTCTGTAAGAGTTAAAGAAAGTCTGGAATCTGAAAACCATGGTAAAAATAGCCTTCTTCATATAAGGGCTCATCTTTAATTAATCTAAAATATGGCCCTAAATGCTGTCTTCCTTTGTACTGTTACATACCATACTGTATCGGTAGATCTGTAATCTATATAACTGCGTGATACTTAAGCACTGTGTATACTGTGTATCTCACACGCATACATCCCAAATCACTGTGCATTCATGCAAATATTGAAAGCTGTGTAGGTGCTGTCTCTTTAAGAGGCAGGATTGCCATTAATTTCGTGGGTTCCATTTACATTCAATTTCTTTTTCAGGTTATTTAAAGAGCAAACACAAATGCATCATTTAAATAGCATTAGCTCCACGTTGTTACATCAGTGTGGGCTTCCCACATATAATGATGTTAAATAAGTTGCCAGAAGGAGGAGGCTGGTGCGTGCAGCAAAGGACTGGCTTGTAGCCAGCGATTTTCCACTCAACAAGCAGTGTAAATAGATTTATATTAAACCCTGCAGGACCAATGACTGCATACTTCACAGCTAACATTCCCTGTGCCCGTTTTACACCCTGTCTGTCCTGAAAAGAAAACTGGTTCCGAGGACCGCTGCTGTCCGAAGATTATCTTTAGCGTCGGAGCTGTGCGTGTTGTCTGCGCAAGCAGTATTCCGTTTCACAGCCCCTGAAGCAGGTTTTCATTCCCTGTAAAGGAGTGCTTTCTGATTTCTGCAAATCCATATAATGCCTTTTGTGTTAATCGTAACGATAATTTTATTTTGGTGCAAGTTGTCTTTGGCATAAGGTCTTGAGAGGAATTCCATCCGGACTGTTTTAAGCTGTTTTGTCACCATGTGGAAGCGCACAAGTAAACCCTGGCCTTTTACTTATTCCTATCTAGACTCCTAAAATCCAGATCAAGTTGTCAAATTTAATATAACTATAATTAATAATATTCCCCTATCCCTATCAACGAAATTAAAAAACCAACGGGAAATATATAATCTGTTTTCTCTTATAAGTTCATAACTTGTGTTTTGTTCTTGTATTCGTGGTGGAAAAGTTAAATGTATGCAGTTAAACACAAACCGCAGAGCGTGCAGCATTAAAACTTCATTTTGACGAACTTTGGAACTGCTGAGGCTTGACATCCTGTGAGTGCTCTTCCACGCCACAGTCTGGCCTCAGTTCTCACCCTGTCAGGTGACACAGGGGTGATGCAGGCAAGTCCACATGTGCTGGCAGAGGCTTATGGCCAGCAGCTATATCAGGAGCACTTAAAACCCTGGCTTGAAATTTACTGTCAGTCTGCACTAGCAACTGAGAGAGCTACTTACAAATCCCAAATGCACAAATGTGGACAGACTTGTAGACTGCATTGAGTGTAGTGCTTCCTGTAGTGGTGCATATAGATTATTCAGAAAAGGGCTGGGAAAACACTCCAGCCTTGAAACTGATCCCGAAGACTCTTTGGCCTTT